GTCCATAGGAATGCTTAGGTACAAGGACAGTCCATAAGAATGCTAGTCATACTGACTACAGCAAACAAGTAAGTAGAGTTGTGCACCTAGATTGAAGAAAAGACCAAGAGTATCCTAAAGTGACTTGTAAATTATGTACATGCAAAAAAACTGGAACTCAGTGTGCTGTAATTCACCTAAATGAGATTGCAAATAGACCTCGACATTCAAGAACTCCTATATAATCAATGAGGAGCCCAATACTTGACAAAAAGATTTGCAGCACAAGGCTTAAGTATCAGATAAAGAGCAACAATATCCTGTTTTGACAACAATATTGCATGTATATAAAAAAATAAAAAATAAAAGAACTAGATGTATTGTATGTCACCTTAATGAAATTGCAAATTGACCCTGGTATTTACGGACTCAAACATAGGCAATGCCTTAAATTGGTAGTTAAAAGATTTACAGTCTCTGAAGTAATTATTCAGACAAACGATCCTCAAAACTTAGATCTTTGAACTCAAATAACTGGTGGATGGGATCAGAATCTCATCTATAAAAATGGTATCTGGGTTTAGCTGAATGGAGGTGATGACAACTTAGATTCAAAAGTAATGACACCGTGTTCCTTGGAAAATATCAGTTCATCAAGTTGATTTTTTTTTTTTTTTTGAGATAGAAATTCATCAAGCATGAAGAATACATAAATGTAAGGGAGATAAAGTGTAAGAGCATGTTTCAAATTGACTCAACTAATCATTTGAAAACAACATAAATGGATATAATAACTCAACAGATAACTAAGTTGCTATCAGTAGAAGTTGCTACCACTAGCAGATCATCTTTTGTTGCCTCCACAGGCTCAACTATATGCTTTTGATCCACGATACCGTCCTTAGAGAGAAACCGGCAGATTCGACCCCATTTTGAAGCGTCAAATGGATGCCTGTGAAGTTAAATGCTTGAATGAGGCCTCCAGTTAAATTCAAACCTAGTTAAGCCAGTAGTTCTTTCAGAGAAAAAAATATATCTTTTTAAAAGGAAAATAAATAGACATGACCCTCAAAAAATAATTAACCAAATAGAAATTCAGCTCTGCAAACAAGGATACTTCACCTCAACAAGACAACAACACCATCAACACCAAATCCAGTATAATCTCACAAGTGGGGTCTGGGGAGGGTAATGTGTACAGAGACCTTATCCCTACCCTATGAGGTTGTTTTCACTAGACCCTCGGCTTAAGGAAACAAGAATACTTCACCTCAAGTGCAGCAAATGAAACGTATAGAAATGAGGCCCCTGCCATTTTGTCAATGAGTTACATTTTATATCCATGACCTTCATGACAAACGGGAAATTCGATAAAATTGGAACGAAATAGAGAAGATTGGCAAGGCCCCTGTGCAAGGATGAAATGCACAAATTGAAAATGATCCAAACTTTCAATTGTAGCATCCCACGGCCAATCGATAGTTAAACTCGAAAGGGAAAAAATTCCACATCGGAGTGGGAGGAAAAGTTATGGGCCATATAAGGCGAGAAAAGGAATTCAACTCACGGGACGTCCTTCGGGTAAAAGCCCAATGGGCCAAAATTGTTAGGCCCCAAATATTGGACCAAAGGGAACAAGGCCAAGGTTGTTACAAGTAGTATCACAAGCTATATCACTCCTAGTACGAGGGTGGGGCAAATATGAACGAGGACGTTAAGTCTATAAGGGGTGAATGTAACAACCTATGGATTTTTCTTCTTTTCTTTTTGGCGGGAGGGCGGGTGGGTGGGGTGGGGAGGGTGAGGGAGGTGAAGGGAATTCACTTTGAATCTTGTCTTACGCATATCCCACATCGGAATAGGAGAAAAAAGTTAAAGAGGCCAAGTAGGATCAGGAATCCAACTATTGAAGTGCCTTTTAGTTAAAGCTCAAGGTAACAACATCACGAGCCACCAAAAGTTAGGCTAGAGTGGTTAATATGTCATCAGTTGGGCCCGGGTCGTTACAATCTATTTGGGATTAAAACTTAGTTATTGTTGTTATACGTACGTTAGTCCGGTGTTTGTTTATGAATATTGCTATTCTTTTTTCGATAAGAAAGTAAAGAACCCCTAATCTGTTTGTTTAGTATTGAATGGAATGGACTTAAGTAGCCGGAGGAATGTATCTAGAATAAATATATGAATAATGAGATGTTGTTCATTCAGATTGAATTGGACTATACTTACATTATTTCATCTTCTTTATTTATCAACACTCCATTCAACCTTTCACAACGTTCAAATTTTCTTCCAGTCATGTACATAGAAAAAGTTAGTTATCATCTTCCAATATCCACCACATTCCCATAATATATAACTTCCTATTTCATATTGTCATGATTTACCAGGAACAGATGCCAATTCCTTCCAAACTCAGTATCATTAAACTTATATCTTAAAATACAAAGCTAGGATAACCAGCTTTAGTACTTCTATTGCACTTCTAGAGTTTCATCATTTTTTTTCATCCAGAACTACATACCTTAGACCTGACCATTGCTAGAACTTTCCGAGACATAAGGAATTTAGCAATCAAAAATTTTAAGAATTAAAATAAACTTATTGCGGCAATATCTTTCACCATTTAATCCTGCAATCAATTCTCTTTTTTTTTTTTTTTTTTTGCTCAATCAAATTTCACCTAGAATGTAGCATACATTTGCAGCACTTACAGTTTCTCAATCCCGAGAAAAGAAATATCATAGGATGACGAGTATATCAACGGAACCTGATCAGGAAAAACAACAAAACTAAAATCCGAGAGATTCCTGTAAAAATCTTACTTTAAATTTTTAAATAAAAATTGAACTAAAAACGAACAAGTTCAAGTTATATACCTTAGAAGGAGGCACATCAAAATACAGCTTGCTAGATAGAATACGATGCCGGCGTAGAGCTTCGGCGTCGTCGGTTTTGGATGAAGATGCTGTCGACATTCGGTGAGTAGCACGGAGAAGAGGGGAATTGCATAAAGTGAAACAATTGAGAAATTGAGCAACTTTAATGGCGATGACTGTTGTACTAATTTGAATTGAAGAAGAAGAAGAAGACGAGAGAGATTGAGGTCAGAGAGAGTGGAAGGTTGACTCGGCTGAAATTGGCAGCAGGAGCATACTCAGAACTGAGAAGGGACTCGGAGCTTTGACACCTGGCATGAGTGGTTGAAGGAACTGGACTTAGCTCCAGAAAGGGAAAGAGAGTTAGACACGTTGCTTTCGTTATTAGCGTTGATTTATGGAAATGGTCTACTTTAGGCTACAGTTTAAATTTTGTGTCTATTTTTAGAAGTTATGGATGGAGTCTTGGAAAAATTATTCTTTTCGGATAACTTAATAGGCAGTTTGGCCAAGCTGCAAAAATCAGCTTATTTTGAGAAGTGCTTTTTTTTAAAAGTGTTTTTCTTAAAAGTACTTTTGGTGAGAAGCAGTTTGTGTTTGGCTAATTAGTTTGAAAAGCACTTCTGAGCAGCAATTAGTGTTTGGCCAAGCTTTAAAAGACTGGTTCTAAGTGTATTTTTCTCAAAAGTGCTTCTCAAAAAAGTGCTTTTGGAGAGAAGCTACTTTTTTCTGCTTCTCCAAAACTGCTTCTGCTTCTCCTCAAAAGTACTTTTTTTACTTCCAAAAGCTTGGCCAAACACCTCAATTTTTGGCCAAAAGTGCTTTTGGCAAAAAAAAAAGCACTTTTGGCCAAAAAGAAGCTTGGCCAAACAGGCTATAAGTCTCCGATTTAGTGGGTGCTTGGACATAAGAATTGTAAAATTCCAAAATAGGGGAAAAGAAGTTTTCAAGTTAAAATAGTATTTAAAATTTAGAGTTGTGTTTGGACATGAATATAATTTTGGGTTGTTTTTGAAGTTTTGTGAGTGATTTGAGCGAATTTTGAAAAACAGCTTTTTGGAGTTTTTCAAATTTTCGAAAATTTCCAAAATGCATCTTCAAGTGAAAATTAAAAATTTTATGAACAAACGTTGGTTTCGAAAAAAAGTAAAAAAAAAAAAGTTGGAAAAAAGGAAAAAATTTCTTATGTCCAAACGGACTCTTAATATTTGCTCATAAAATTTTTAGTTTGCTCAGAAATATTAGGCATGTATACAAGACAACCATTAGATAGCTTAGAAGCATTAAATTAAAAAGTCAAATTTTGCGAAATTGTTATTTATTCGGATTAGGTGTTGTTCCAAATGATTGGGAATAACCTTTAGAGTTTATATCTGATTTTGAGAGAATTTGGTGAAGACTCGAGGTATTTTTTTTCAAAATTTCAGATTGAAACTCGAAGAATAAGATATAAATAAATTGTATATATTTTGTATACTATGTGTAGAAACGGCATGCAAAATATATACGACTAACATAATTGTATATAAATTATATGTAAATTGTAGGTTTTACCAGATTCTGTACAAAAAAATTAAACTTAAGTAGTAGATAAATTATAGATTTTGATCGGATTTATATATATTTTATAAAAAACTTTAGTTACTTTCTGTAAATAGAAAATCTTAAATAAATAAATTTAAAATCTCGTATATATATACGAAAAAGTCCCTTTTCTAAGTTTATAAGAATCTTTCTCTCAAAGAGAAAATAAATTAGACCTCAATTAAAGTGATATTGTGATAGTTGTCACAAGATATCTAGAGACTATTTGGGAATAAAGACTTCGTAAGTTTTTTGTATGTATAAAGAGGAACCTTGACCAAATGGGAGGTAATTAAATGACTTAGGCTGAATTATAATTACGAAAAATTTGGAAGTAAACATAACAATTCGATGAACAAATTGTACCAAATTTATGCCCCTCCCAACAAAATTGGTGAACAAAGCAAGTTTTCCAATCTGGCAAGACGTAATACCTTATATTTAAAAATAAGGGTAGTTAAATAATTGGCCAAAAAAAAAAAAAGGAACACAAACTAATTAAAAAAAAAAAAAGGGAGATGCACTAAAAGGGCCGAAGCCCACCAGATGAGAATCTAGTAAAAAGGAAAAAAGAAGAAACGGGACAAGGGCAAGGGTCACGCAGCAGCAAATAGAGAAAAGGGGATTTGATGAAATCCTAATAAAACAAAAAAACTTTACAAGAATATAGAAGAAGAAGAAGGTTTAACTCTTGGTGCTTGTTCATAATCCTTCTAGCGCAGCCTCTTCTCTGGTTAAAAGGTTCACTTCCTTTCTACAATTTTGTTTGAATTGCTTTTTTGTCTATACAATCTTATTAAGCCATAGAAAAACTAATTAAAGATTAAATAGTTATGAGAGATATATGAAAAATTTATGTCTTTTTCTGGTTTTGGCTCATCGTTTAGAAAAGAATCACATGTAAAAAAAATAGTGTAGTTGTATTATTTTAGTTAAATGCGTATATATATTGATCCTTATCAAATTTGAGATAAAGTAATATATGAAGATTTGGTTTGGTGTTTCACAGTAATGGAAAGAATCAAGAAACTTCAGGTGTTCTTTTTATTTAGCACAATCATGGATCCCCCGTGAAATTGAAAAAAGAATATATTCTATTAGTTTATACCAAGAACTCTAATGTGCATATTAGCATACTTGTAAAGTATTGCATGAGAAAAAGATTCAAATAAAAATATAAGAATAGTCAGAGGACTATAGTTTCTATCCACTTAAGTACTACAAGTTGCTTAGCAGAGAATCAATGGGCATATTTCAGAGGAATGAAAACAGGGAAATTAATTAAAGGTGACAGGGATGGACCAATTATGTTGGTAATTCACGAAGTTAATACATAGATTGATTTTGTTACAAGTAGGTAGTTAAAGAAATGGAACGAAGTGCTCGAGGTGACGCGTTTGATATTCTTGCACGAGTACTGTGAGTAGTAATCTTACCGCAACTTGTATTTTCGTAACCTACATGGTTTATGCATGATTTTGAAAATAGTATTTGTTACCGAATGTTTAAAATTGCATGTGGGACAAGTCCTTTACTTGATATGGTATTGAACAGTTTACTTGAGATGTTACAGTTATTTAAAATGTTCTCATTGTTACTAGACATGTCTTATTGTTACTTGAGATATGATACCATTACCGAAATGTAATTACATGATTTGATAAGAGCTGAAACGCCCTATATTGTTTTAAAATATTTTCTTACGAGTATTTACTGATTACAAAGACAAGTATAAATGGGAGGACACTTTGAAGGATCCCGTAGCTAACGGCGGGTTCGTTAGACTTGGTGCACCATGTATTACAGATTACTAATTATAGTTATAGCCCTCGCTAGTAGGAAGGTAGAACTAGCATACAGTTACAGTTTTTCCCTCGAGTAGGGACCTACAGTTATATTTGACTCATTTTACGAAGGGGTGCACACAGTGATACAGATTACATGACCCTTTCTTGAAAACCTCCCAAACATAAAGATTTGCTATGAGACATTGCTTACCGAGTTTATTACCGAATTGTTAAATTGATTTCTGTTACAGGAAACACATGATGAGACTTATTATTATTTATTGTTTCTGAAAGGGCGTTCTTATGATATTTTTTGTATAATATACTAGTATGTTTTCTGACTTGTCCCCAATTAAAACGGTTGTGGTTAAGTGTTATTACTCACTGAGCTAGCGACTCAATCCCCGCTATTTTTTTTACAGAGACAGCAGTTGACGCGAGCGAGGATTTCATTAATTAGAGTATACAAGTTTATAGTTCCTGGCAAGCCCCGCACTTGTTCGTGTGGGCGGAGAGTTTATTTATTCGTTATCGTCTTTCCTTATGAACTCTTAAAGTTGCTCCATAGTCATTTTTATTAGCGCCATGAGTATTCATTTGTTATATTGGACTAGTTGCTAGCATTGCACTTTTTTCCATATTTTTTAGATGGGTTTAGTATTATTATGTTGATAAGGTTGGTAATGCTGGTGAAAACTCGTTTTTGGTTAGTTGATGAAGATTGTGATTGATTTAGGTAAATATTGATTGGTTGTTATTTGTTTATGAGATAGGAAATTTTTTGGATAGTCCTAAAATAGAGGAAACTCTGTCCGATTTTCTGTAAAATATCGATGAGGCTTACTTCGGGGAACTTGCTTCTAAGCGCCGGCATGATCCTAAATTGGATCGTGACAAAGTTGGTATCAGAGCCAGGTTATTCCTATGACTAACGGAGCACACGTCGATAGTAGAATATCAATTATGGTTATGTAGCCGGTCATTCCCATAATCGTGATTCTGTGAGGGTGTGATAGGATGTGTCTCATCTTTCTTTCTTATTCCTCCGTACATGCGTGACGATTAGGGTCAAATAACTGAATCTGTCATCGTTATCCTTTTCCTGTATTACTCAGATCAATCACCCAATTATAGAATTTGGCTGAAGGTTCAAAGACATCAAATGTTGCCACTAGATAGGCAACCGTCTCCTGACGACGAAAAGTGACAGAAGTAGTATACAAGGCCAATAAAAGGCATGTTTTTCCACAATGAGAGTCTTACCGCTAAGATGTATAATAGAGTCTATTCTTGAAATTAGTACGAGTTCACCACTATAGCACCATGAGAGTGCCATTACAAAAGTACTTACCTCCATGCAAGGTAAATTGAGGTCTCGATGAACATATTGGATAGACAAGAGAAGAATGGGCAACAACAAAGGGCTTTAGATGCCTGCATTTAGACTAAGTCGGAAACCAAGATGTTTCTATAATAGAGTTCCAAAAATTGAAGACACTAAGTTTACCATTTTCTGTTAATGTCGAGGATCCTCAGAGGTTCTTGACAAAATACTTAAAGCATTATGAGCTCTATAATGTTCGAACGAGAGGCCTATTGATCTAGAAACTTATCGACTGGAGTATATGAAGAATATATAGAACGGAACCATACTGTTAGGGACGCTGTTAGGAGTGACACTAATGACTTAGAAATAAGTATAGTAAACTTATAATAATTTATTTCCTTCTCGATAGCCGAAAGCGCAAACCTGATAGGTACTAAAGAAATTAATTCAGACGATGGATGTATTGACATGTGACACCAGACTTTATCAGTTGGTTAGGTACGTGATGCCTTAGGTTTAGAGGCTTGTCTAATAGTTGGTTAACCGTTTAAACAAGGCAATACTCTCGCATACAAAGACTCTAACCTATTATGTGGAAGTTGAACTTGCTAGATTTTTTTTTAAGAACCGGATGTGATTGTCATACAACTAAGAATTCATTTAAGAAGGTAGAGACTAGGAAATCTCGCTTATGAATTTATTTTTCTTATATGGGACGAAGAGTTAGATAAATAACATCTTGAGATATTATGAGTTCTATTAATAATTGTTACTTTTATGGAAGAATCTCGTATAGTTGAAACTTTGTATTAGGTTTATCAGATTCAAGTTGAGAGAGAGGATACCCTATCTAGCCAAATTGTACTTGACCTTGTGGATTTTGACGTGCTTAGAGGTATGATTGGTTATCATCTTACCACATTACCTTTTATTACCATGCAAAGGTAGTTAGATTGACATATATAGTAAAACTAATTGTAAAAATTAAAAATAAACAGAAATAATTATATCCCAATGATAGTCGAGGCTTTACGATTATTGAATAAGAGTGGTTAGGGTCTTGTAACTTCTATAAAAGGATCTAAGAGATGTGAAACTTAGTTTGAAAAATAAAAGTACTAATAATGGGAGAATTCTTTGATGTATTTCTAAGGGTTTACTAGTACTAACTCGAGTACGAGAAATAAATTTTTGTTGACTTGGCACTAGACACAACTTATATCGATACTCCCATATTATATCGAACTAGTGAAGCAAAGAGAACTAAATAAAAAGTTACATGACCTACTGACAAGGATTTTATCAAATCGAGCGTATCACCTTGGGGTGCACTGATATTTTTGTGAAAAAGAAAGGAAGATCTCTAAGAGTCTGCAACGACTTAAAGCTGATGAATAAGACAACACTACATAATAAGTGCCTATTGCCTTATATATATATGACATGTCATCAGTTGCTCAAATCAGAAAAGAATATATTCCTAAGGCAATATTCAAATTCGGTACGCTATTATGAGTTCCTTGGGATGCCTTTTGGACTTGCCGATACTCGCATTGTTGGTGTTTATGTTTTTGGATAGATTTGTCATAGTAATTATTGATGATATTACCTCGTATCCAGGAGGAACACGAGGATTACCTGAAAACGGTGTTATACATTAGGGCAAACAATTTCTACAGAATATTTTTTTTCCTTCCACAATGGCAGCGCCATTAATCAATTTAACCTAGAAAAATGCAAAGTTCTGCGGACGGAGGAATATGAGCTTAACTTTCTGAAACCAAAAACATATTTAATAACCTCGTCAGTATTAGCCTTACCACTATGCTCTAGAGTATTCACAGTATTATATAATGCTTTGATGTTGGGGTAAGATATTTTTTTCATGTAGAATGATCATGTGATAACTTACGATTCAACACAACTAAAGAAGCACAAGCAGAACTATCCCACTTATTATTTGGAGATGACCAGAATGTATTTGCTTTGAAGATGTGGAGACACTAATTGTATGATGAAACTTGTGAGATTTATATAGACCACAAGAGTCTGAAGTACGCATTCCAGCAAAGACATCTGAATCTTTAGCAACGTAAATGGATAAAACAATTTAAGAACTATGATTAGACTATTCTATATCATCCCAGAAAGGACATTGTTGTGGCTAATACATTAAGTACAAAATTTGTGGGGTAGTTTGCCACATACACCTGCTGTAAAGAGACTTTTGATCAAGAATATTGCACAGACTAAATAGTACAAAAAAGTTCAAAGCTATTGTTGGCTTGTGTTCAAGCAAAGTCTTCATTGGTAAAATGCACAAAGGCCATTCAATATAAAGATGAGCGATTATGCAAACATGAAAATGAGGTCCTAGCTGGTAAAAGCAAGGATATGACTATTATAGAAATTATATTATTCGACTAGGTAACCAGTTATGTATACCAAATGTAGATGAGTTAAGACGAGTCATTCTTGAGGTGCTTGCAACTCTAGATTCACTGTACAATCGGGGTCTAATAAGGTGTACTATGACTAGGAAAAAATTGTATTTATGGGAAAAGAAGTAAAGAAGATTTCTTTAACTTTATTTCTAACTGTTTGACTTGTTAGCATGTCAACATCTGTAACTCACGTGCCTACTACAATAGCTTGAGATTCCAAAGTGAAAATGAAATAAAATCAAAGTGAGTTTATGGCAAAAAAAATACCTGAAATAATTAGAGGTTATAATTATAGGTGGGAATTACAAATTGGCTTATATAATAGACACACATTTTGTTGGTCAAAACTTCTTATGCTGAGAATGATTATGCACAAAGATACATGAATGAAAAATTATCAAACTCTACGGGTCTATTGTCTATCATTTCTGATAGAAGCTTACAATTTACTGCACGATTTTGAAAATCTTTCCAAGAAGCATTGGTTACACGAGTAGATCTTAGTACCGCATTTTATCAACAGATAAACAAACAGTCTGAACATACTATACAGATCTTGAAGGATATGTTGAGAGCTTGCATTTTGAGTTTAAGGATAGATTGTATGGTTAGTAATATATCTATAACAATTTGCCTACAATGATAGCTTTTAGTATGGTATATAGGTGTGATGATAGGCTATAATTACGTATTTTAGTCGCTTATTACACTCGAGTTTACTGCACTTTAATTGAGTTTGAGCTTTAATCGCTAGTGTTTTGCACTAATTGTGTGTTTTATGCCTTGTAGGTGTGATTCCGAGCTATATAGATATTATGGAATGAATTCAAGTGATTTGAAAATTTGAAGTCTGAGTAAAAGCCCAAGGAATTAAGCCGGGATCGTATTCGGGGATCAACGGATGATAAAACAACAAAACGAAGACTCGAGGAGGCATATTGCGCACTGTCTAGTAAAATAGACATAACATTTTGCGTAGAACTCCATTTGGGCTCCACAATATATGGTTGGAAAGCTAACTCAAAGAGCTATAACTTTCATGTTTTACATTTTTCCAAATTCCAAACGGAACAGGGTGAAAAACGCGGTAGAAACCGCGACCGCGGAACTGACCGCAGCAGAAAATCAGAGAGCTTGTTTGGCCGCGGTCCTACCGCGTTTTGGCCGCGGCCGCGCCGCTCCAGGCGTCAAAAAGAAGTCCTATTTCATCCAGGACAAGGTTATTTCGGCCCTACACTATTCCAACTTGTATAAAAGGGGTCCTAAACCTATTTTGAAGAGAGGAGACATATTTTGGACACAAATTAGACCTAAGAAAGGGCAAGGGGCAAGGAGGATCATTGGGCATCAATCTTTAATCTTCTTCTTTGTTCTTTTACCTTTGAATATGAATTCTCTTGTGATTTTTGTTATTTTCATGAGTAGCTAACTTTTCTAATCTAAGGTTTTGGTGAAACCCGTTGGGGATGAATTGGTTGTTATAAGTAATATAGATTTGAATTAGTTTAATCTCTATTTGTTCAACTATATTTTGATTGTGGTTAATTGAAAGGATCCTCAATTAGCCGTTCCTATTTATTATGTATCTGCTTGAGAGAGAGTGCATATTTAGGTAGTTTTTTGAACAACATCACTCCCGGAGTATAGGCGAGAGTCATAACCGAGGGTTTAGAGGTTGGATTAGAGATAACGATACCTCGGGTGCGATCTAAGTGAACTGTAATGCGAATCTAGCTAGCGTAGCTTGAGAGAGTGCGTCTAGTAAATTATCATAATTGCTTGAGAGAGATTTATGATAGCTGGAGAGTTCATGATTGATAGAGGCAACTAAGTCAATGCTATAAGAAACATA